GTTAAAATCAGAACGAATGTGATCCTTCAAAAAAGCATTAAAAGATTCACTAAATTACGTGGTACTCATTCCCGCATCCCATGTTGATCTAACGTAAGGCCAGCCCCATTTTTCTTTCACCGCAAAAGTCAATTTCAACCAATGGTTTTCATTCGCATCATATTTATCAAGCATTTCCGCCCACTCTAACTTCCATTGATTTGCATCTTCAATGTGAAAGAAGAATTTATTTAGTACACTCTTCACCCCCTTATCTTGGAACAAACAGTTAACATGTTTTAATGCATTTTGCATCAAATGCCAAGTACACAATCGGTGACTTGTGTCAGGCATAGCGATGGGTATGGCTTTAGCCATTGCAGCATCTTGATCGGTGAACAAAGTTTTTGGTGCCTTTCTTGACATAGCCTCTAGAAAATTTTCAAACAACCATACAAACGATTCGGCGGTCTCATCATACAACAATGCTGCACCAAATATAACTGTTTCCCTATGATGATTGAATCCCATAAAAGATGCGAAGGGTCTATGTTCTTCGTTTAACTTGTAAGTCATATCAAATGTGACAACATCACAAAATTGGGCATAATCCATGATCATTTGTGCATCGGCCCAAAACATATTGGTTATTTGCTCGTCATTATCTAATTGAAAAGCATAAAAGAATGAAGGATTCTGCAAAGATTTTTCTTTAAAGTATTGCAACACATTGCCTACTTCCCCATATGCTAAACTTTGTTGTCTTTTGGTTCTCAAATAATTTTTAGAATCTAATTTCGTAAACCCAAGACATTGCCTTCCACCAGCTTCCCTACCCATGAGTTCAAAAGACTGGCCAAAACGAAGACCAGATTGTGCCGCCAAATCTAACTGAATTGCTTGGGTAGTCGATATTTTTCTTTGTGATGGCAACATGTGAGCACACTCGGGTGATACAAGATCATGCTTGTGTTTTTCTCTGAAATCAGTAACAACAAATTTCCCAGTACCCTCATCTAATTTAATATAAAGTCGAGCCTCACAACCAGTCCTACTTTCAGCTCTAGGATTTTTTGACAATGGGTCTCGCTTGTCAACCTTTCGAAATCCCTCCTTGTTGCAAACCAAAAGTCTACAAATAAGTTGATTAGTGAACTTGTCCTTCCTACAATAATCCCTTCTTATGTTAAACCTCATTCTTCCTCCATATGTATTATAAAAATCATACGTACATTGTTCAGAATCAAATGTCATTCCCTGTTTTGGCTTCCAATCACAATCATTCTCAGGTTCCATATCGATATCAAAATGCAACTGAAAACCCATATAAATAAAAAAAACCAATAATTTCAGTTTGAAAAAAAAAAAAAAACCAGACATAAAAACATAGAGACTAAGTTCAGTTTTAAAAAACTCCACTTCTACATGTATATGTTGGAACTCTGTCATATATATTAAAATCTATTTTTCCACCACTGTTTACAATCAGTGACAATATAGTCTAAATAGGCTGTAATGTTGGAAATCAGACCTAACTTTCATCCTAAAGAATCTTTATATTCACTCACTGTACCTCAAATATTCTAATGCATACCATACAAGGGAAAATTATCAAATATTATAGGACCAGTCTTCATATATAAAATTCTCTCTCTAGGAATCAGGCTGTCAATTTTGGAATTTTTTTTTTTTTTTGGGTAGATTAATGAGAATGTCTCCATGAGGGTTCAGATATGATCTAATTTGTAATTAACAAAACATGAGGGTTCAGATATGATCTTGGAGAACATTGAATTCTACATAGGGTTTAGTATATCCACAACCTGGTTCGTGAAGACAGAGGACAAAAGATGGAATTCTACACAGGGTTCACTATGTTTGAAACTGTTAGCTCTTGTTGAGCAATGGAATTTTGCTCAAACAAAATTGAAAACAGAGGACAAAAGATCTTCGTTCAAAGACCAACCTGGTTCGTGTTGAAGAGATCTTTGCTCAACCGATGGTGGTCATCGCGGTGGAGTTCACGAAGCATAGAGACTGGAGCGGTGGAGTTCGCCGTTGGTGAGGATGGGTTCGCCGGTGAGGATGAGAATGGGTTCGACGGAGGAGAGTGCTGTGTAAGAGTGAGAGTGCTGTGTGAGAGTGAGAGTGAATCTCTGAGCTGTGTTGTTGTTTTGTTTGGGCGGGAACTCGAAAACATTTCATTTTTGATTTTTTTTTTTTTTAATCTGAGTCGTTGGATGACCAACGGCTCATCTGAACCGTTGCAAGCAGGAGCTCAAGGAGGATCCTCAAGGAGAGGATCTGAACTGTTTTCTCTTGCCCACAAACGTGATATGGGGAAAGGAAAATGATTGGACATCCCTCCAGTCACTCGAGTGTAAAAATTCCAAAAACATGTGACTTTGGGAGTGTTTGAGACTCAAAGTTGAGGCTAAAATAATTTCAAATACAAAAAAAAATTAAATGATTTCAAATAATATTTTTAACTAATAATTTATATTTATAAAAGAAAAAAAAAACCAAAGCAGCAGGCAGTGGGCAGAGGGTAGGGCTAGCTTAGTTCCACAAGCTGAAATGACACTTTTGCCCCTATAGACTAATTTTGAAAAAAGTGAAGTTATGGACAAATTTGTCATTTTAACATCAAACATCATTTTATATCCATTTTCTAATACAACAACTCAAATAAAAATCTATCCTATCTTCCCAAACACAAAAACTAAAATAGCCTACTAAAATAGTCAAAAAGTCTCTAAGTAGCCACTTCCCAAACACCCACATTGTTAACTTTGAAAATCAAGAAAGAAAATAAATGTTATTTATACAGAATTTATATATGACATTCTTTATAAAAAAGTTAAAATTTTAGAAATTAAAATTTAGCGATAAAATTCTTTTTAAGAACCAAATATTTTTATTGTGAAAAGTGTCGTCATTATATTTTTAGTAATAAAAATTAGACATTAGTAATGAATTATTATTCTTTTGGGACCAAATTTTTTGTCTCAAAACATAAACTACTTTGAGACTAAATTATTTTATCCCTAAAAGCCTATTTATTAGTGACATTTTCAAAATTTTGTCGCTAGAAGCCTTACTTTTGACTTTTCGGGATGACCTTTTAACAACTATCCTTTTGACGATAGAAATTAATTTCTAAATGTCTTTTACAACAAAATTTTCACTTTTAGAGACTAAAATATTTGATCTCTAAAACTCTTATATGTTGTAGTGATATCTGTCACCATTTTGGATTTTTCTCTTTCCCACAAACGTGATAGAAATTGATCGGGTTTCTCCTCAATTGATAATCTAAATTAAAGGGTGTTGTTTGAGTTTATAGAGTCTATTACGAGATTTGTTTTAATAATTCGGACTATTTATTTTATGGGTTTCATCAAATATATTATGTAGATAAAAAATTAAGCCAATCTAATAATTGTAACATATTCAGTTTATCATGTTTGTCATAAAAATAAAATAAAAATGAATGGTCTATTTTTTGAAACACATTAGACGTTTATTTTTTAATACAAATGTGATAAATTGAAAGGTAAACTACCAATAGGTCCTAATAGTTGAACTTAATTCTCATTAAGTCCTATTTAAAATAAGTTCTAATAAAATTGTCGTTAAAAATAATTTTTGTGACGATTTTTTACATATATTGCTAAAAATTAATAATTAGTGACTTTTTTATCATGATTTTTACAAATTGTCGCTAAAACTTACAAGTAGTGACATTTTTCTGTGACGAATTTTTCAATCTACCGTTAAAAGTTGAAAATTAGTGACTTTTTTTTAGACGGTTTTTTAAACTGTTGCTAAAACTTATAATTAGTGACATTTTTTTTTTGACAATTTTCAAACCGTCATTGAAAATTAACAATTAGTGACGTTTTATAATAGTATTTGATGAAAAAAATCATTAATTATCACATATATTGAACAATAAGTTCACCTATTGAGATCTACACGTAAATCCCTCTAAATTGAATAGATTGTGATTATTAGATCGATCTAAATTTTTATATATATATAATATATACAAAGGGCTTATAAATTTTCAGAATCAGATAAATAGACCCATAATTAATCTCTACAGTCCAACGACTAAGTCAAACCGCTCCTAGATTGGGGCAACTAGAAGGCAACGGGGTGGGGTGGGATGGCGAGGCGGGCTTGGCGACTTATCGTCCCCGATCCCGGGCTATAAACCCGAGCCCTACCCCCACCCCACTCCCACCCTCTAACGGGGATCGAGTTTCTTCGACCTCGAACAATCCCCATACAAAAACAACAACAATCAGCGAAGATGGTGAAGAGCAGAGAGGAGAGTGAAGAGAGAAAGTAGAGAGACAGGTGACAACAGATAAATCAGATAATATATATAAATTGATCAAGATTTTTCAAAAAAGTCATAAATCTATTCAAAAAAACCACAGATCTGTTAAAACCCTAATAGAAAAAATTTAGATATGTTGAACAGATAAAACCCTAACAATAATACCCTAACAACAAAATCAAATTTGTTCAAAAAAACCACAGAACAGATACAAATGACGATGGAGTGTTGTGCTGCGGTGGTGTTGTGGTGGAAGGAGTGTTGTGCAATGGATGATGGCGATCGATAAGTCACATCACTGTAATGGTGTATAATAACGATGGTGGTGGGATCGTCTTTGGAGATTACAGTAGTAGAGGAAAAAATAGATTGACAGAGTGAAGGAGAGAGAAAGAGAGAGACAGAGAGAAAGAGAGAGAAGAGAGGAGATTGGTGGTGAGTGAAGAAGAACGGCGGTGAAGGAGAGAGTGACAAGCGAAGAAGATCGGCGGTGGAGGGAAGAGAGAGAGAGAGAGAGAGAGAGAGAATGAATAAGAGAGAGAAATAAGGGATTCAACGGTGTATGTAAGTATGAGAGGTTGAAAATAAGATTTAGAAATATATTATATATACGGGGATGTTCGGGGTTTATTCGGGGCGAGGTCGGGACTGAGGGAACCTATCCCCATCGCCGGCCCGAAAATCATCAGGGATTCAATTTTCAATACCTTCCCCAGCCCTATGGGGGTAATTTTTAGGAAAAACCCGTTCTAATTAGGGTCAGAGGGTTGGACCCCGTAGGACCGGATTCAAATTGCCATCCCTAGGGGCAACACCCTCTAATCGATTGGAGGAACCAACTCCAATAGAAATATAGCATGCACACATCAAAGATAATTTATATAAGTTGACTAATTATGACAATGTGACATGCTTGTGATTAGAACTTATTTAAATATATACGTTATTTTAAGATCATAACTTGGAGGGCTATGCTATGGTATAATTAGATACTCTTTAGTCATTTTAAAAAAAATAATAAATAAATAAAAGTTATAATCAAACACATGAAAGTATAACCAAAAACTTTTGAATCATAATTAATTTAATATAATAATCAATACGTGTCATAACTAACACCACAATATGTATAATTATGTGATAACTAAGTCATAACTAATATCACAATAAATTACAATTAAAGACTATAACAATTGTAACTGAGGCATATGGTATACCACTCTATATATTTTTTTATTTATATATCAGTCTGTGGGGATGTATTTTCTGAATACCAACACGTGGCAAGGTGACGCCGATGTGTCAGCCGAGGTGCCACGTGTCCTGGTCATGACGCCGAGATGATCTCGGCGAGGCCGAGGTTATCTCCGAAGATATCGGAACCCGAGATAAACGGATAAGGGACAAAAAGTCCTAGAATGAAGAGGAGACTTAGTCAAGATGAGGATAAATCTCTTAGGGAGTTTATCTTTATCTCTTGAGGAGTCCAAAGTAAGTACTGAGTTGGAGTCCATAGAAGTCAGGCTTCTAGTGGGACTAGGATTAAGGTAACTATAAAAGAGAGGCACCCCTGTGGGTCTAAGGTACACAATGTTATGCTTTGAATAGTGAGTTTAGCACTTGATTATCTTTGAGATATATATTGACTTGATCGTCGGAGTGCCCCCGGGTGGAAGAGCCACCGCCGGAGCCTTTTCTTTCTGTTACAGGTTAACTGGAGCCATCTATTCTGCCGGTGCTCTCTAGCTGATTACTAAACGGGCGGTGTGGTCAGAAAATTACCCACATAATTTGGCGCCGTCTGTGGGAACTTAGAAGAATAGATGGCCAGTAACGGACAGAAGAAAAACATTGGGGGCGACACTCCTACTGGGAGTGGCAGACCAATTGGCCTTGACGTTGAAGGAGACAACCACAATGCAGAAACTCATGACCAGGGCCACGGAGAGAAAAACGTCGGCCAGGAGGGCGACACTTCGAAGCGGACAGACCAAAGCAAGTACTATAATGAAGATAACCTTCAGGTATGGAGGGATAGGTGCCTACGGAGGGATGAGGAAGTAAAAGTCTTGGCAAACAAGTTGGCAGACCTACAGTCAGTGGTCAACTTCATGATGCAAAACAATGTCATGCAGCCACCATACCCGCTGCACGACACGCCGATTTCAGCAACTAATACCTAGAAGGGAGGAAGAAAAACAATCCCTGAAGCCCCTCAGCACACCAGGAGCGGAAGGCGCTCTCACCGACCTTCCAGGGAAGTCGGACAAGAGGAGCTGAGACGAGAGGAGTCCCAAAGGACGTATCACATGAAATCGACATGTTCAAGGGCAGGCGCTCTGCTTTGACACAACACATGGAGAGAGATCAAAACGAGCCCACCACGAGGCTGAAAGTAGTGTGCTGAAGAGATTAAAGTCCAGAGATAGCCGAGCTCCAAGCAGGAGTAAAGAAGACTTGAGAGATTACCTCAAGAGGAAGCAACAGAATGCTGAAGCCGAGGTAACTTCCCCGGTTAAGCCAAAGACACCATTCTCGGTGGAACTGGACAAATTTGAAGCACCAAAGAGGTTCAGTATGCCGAGGTTCCAAATATATGATGGTAAGTCAGATCCCAACTTCCACGTTGGGCTATACCTGAATTCAATGGCATTATATAGTGGGAACGACCAGTTGCTCTGCAAAGTATTCCCCTCGTCTTTCGGGGAAATTGCATCAGATTGGTTCCATAAACTACCGAAGGGAAGCGTAAAGACTTGGGAAGG